TGAACAAAATTAGTTCACAGATCATTAATAGTGGTTTTATCACTGTCGTACGTACCACCATACAGTCTACAAAGCACAATCACCAGACACTGTTTTTGTCAGTATCACACGTTACCAGGCAGTGACACAGAATAAAGGAGCAAGTGTCAAAATGTGTGGTAGTTCAGGAAGTAGATGACAAGTGGTAACATGCTGAAATGTGACAGTCCACACCCAACCTGTCCAGGTACTGAGAAGGTATAGCTACCCTGGCCTAATTCTACCTCAGGAAGCAATGCAAAGTATTCTACACATATGTTTGAGATGAAGCTGAACTGTCCAAAAGCTTAACTGATCAGATTGCTGTGAACAGAGAATGAGGGGCAGTTTTTGAACATCATTTTACAGCAGCCTTTAATGTCTGACTCTCTTGAGTCACAGATTTAGGAAAGCGTAGTAGCAAAGTAGCACAACTAAGAAGTTCCATTACCAATAATGAAAATCCTTACCATAAAGGTGTGAGAGAACAGACTGGATTGGTAGGTCTTAAATTTCCCTGCAAAGTGAGCTGGTCCATGTATAGGAACTGAGGTACTTGGCTATCCATCACTGGGACTGCCCAAAGAGAAACATGCTCTTTCTCTCCAAATGGTGGTAATTTAGTCTAAGTGCAGGAAGTAGGTAGTTGTTAAACAGTTTTGGACTCAGCTCACAAAGGTCTGTTACCCACACTGTGTGTTGACAGTGATCTGTATGTACACTGTCACTGGAAAGTTAAGCCCAATGAGCAGCCCCTAGTTCAAAATAGCACCTGGGTTAATCTAGTCCAGGTAAGAGAACCCTCACAGATCCCTGCCTCTGCACTGACAAGCATGTGTCACCAGGAGCTAGGGCTCCTGATCCTTTTCTGCTGCAGAACAGTGTACCAATGGATGGCAGGAGTTCTTGCATTTCCATCTCTTCTGAAGACATAGACAGAAGACTGTGTGAAAGGAAGGCTTGCAAAATCTATGCATTTTTTTCTATCTTAAAAATGTCAGGTAAGCAAATAACTGAATGTACCTGGACCTTTATGCAGGTATGAACTCCAGCTATGTAATCAAACTCCTTTGAAGCTTCTAACTCTGGTTCATTGCAATTCAAATAGCAAGAGAAAGAAGGTTCCATTACATCGCAGATTCATTACAATATTAGCCTTCCAGGTGCATCCACAGGAAACCACCCCTTACTCTGATAGGCAGTCAAGTTCATTTAAGAAAGTCAGTGCCCAGGATACAAAAATGACCTGGAGAAAAATGAAGTGATTTATTTGTGTGACAGTTCTGAGTCACAAGTGGTCTGGTAGGGGCCATGAAACTCATTGCATGAAGTATGGCAGGATTTGGATTTAAGATGGCAGAAACTAAAGACTGCACACTTCGGGACTGAGCATAACCCCAGGTCAGTAGGTACTAAATGCCAGGTCCTTTGCAGCCTTCTGTTCTACAGAATTTCAGATCTTTATTATCGCTGATACAATGATGCCTGTCTGATTTTGCAAAAAGGCTGAAGCTGTGCATCAAAGTTACCACTCATTTTCAGTACTTTTCTATTCGGAGCATGAAACATGAGAGAAAGAGGGCTATATCAGAAATAGTGCAAATTAAATTATCAGAAAATAATTTAAGTGTCAGTCATATCTTCCTCAAGTCAAAAAAGAATTGAAACACCAGAAGTCCCACTTCATATGGAAGATGAGATAGGACTTGGACTCTACCATCTGACTTAGGTAGACTAAAGGTTATATAAGGTGATGGTTCACCTAACAAATTGCTGTGTGAGCCCAGGAGAGAATAGTTCTACAAATAGACAGAAGGCATGAATTTTTACTTCAAAAGCTTGTTTAATCTGCTGAGGGAAAAACTGCATTTTGAGGTGAACAAAATTTATTCTCTTAGTACTGCTTGGAAGAGTATTACACTCCTTGTTTAAAAATGGCAGGTTTTGTAATGCTCAAACTCTGATAAAGACAGGATGTGGAAAAGCAGCTAATGAAACAGAACACTTGGATAAAATCCTTGTATCAATAAGAGTGAAAGTCTCTCAGGTTTTATTTAGATAGTTACACTATGAAAGATCTGCATTTCTTCAGCACTATGTTGCACATGTACAAATACTGAATTACCATTTGATTCAAAAATGACCTAAGCACCTGTCATCAGCACAGTAACGGACATAAGCTGACAGAACACTTTCGTCGCAGACTAATGCCAAGAAAGGGGTAAAATATACCCAAAATCTCAAACAATAAAACCAAGAACTAAGCAGTGGAGACAGACCACCACTGATTTCAAAACCTGCACAAGTGAAGTGGCTATTTGAATGAAATCTGAGAAGGATTAATCTGATGTTTCAAATGCATAATGTAGCAAACTTTCTGGCATTATACTCCATCAATTAAGTCAAAAGGTCATTAGAAATAAGTGCTAATTTGCAGTCAGTCAACACTCTCATATGTTATACATTGTAAACTTGGAATAAGACAACTTCATCCATATTTCTAAATAGTAGTGCAGACTATGTATATATACACTTCACAAAGTGTTTGTGAGAAAGTTGTTTAGCTTGGTTTGTTTGTTTGTTTTTTTCAGAAATCCTACTCTTTGTAACTTAATTTGGATCACAGAGTGATCACTTTAGATCAACTTGATACACAAAAACTCTCTCCTTGTCATTTGTAGTTGTCAGCATCTCAGATTTTAATTGTAATTTTTGCATTTAGGTGTTTATATAAAATTATTTTTTTCCAAGACTTTCCAAACCTGTGAACTTTGATGACTACTTCTTCTATTCAATAATTTCAAAATTTCTAGGCAATAAGGAAAAATGAATTCTTATTGTGCGTGATGCTGAAATGCCAAAGATGCATAATTTAAATAATTCCTGCTGTATGAGAATTTGTTATAACAGGAATGAATTCTACAAGAACTTAAACTAAAACTGGACAAAACCTCATTTTCATCATGCCAATTACAGCATGTTGCTCTTTCTATTTTAACCCTTTCTTAATGGGCAAGCTTATATTTCCATTACTCAGGGATCATTTTTGTTTATGCTTCAGCAATTGCATGACAACTGATTAACAAATCGGGGAACCACTCTTTGACAATTCTCTTAGAATAGTACGGAGTTCTCAACATAGAAAACACTGGGACCCTAATTTCTGTCTTAACTAGATTAAAGGCCATATATAGTGAAGAGTAGCTAATCATGTAACACAGGTACATCTTTTCTTCATCATAGGCCTCAAACATAGCATCCATGAGATATACATGATGAAGACACTTTATCAGTCTGGCATGGCTTAAGAGTGTATTTCCTACGCTTTCTATGTCTGTGGTTACTATTTAATCTTCCCTACAAAAAGTATCAAATACTGGAACTGGAGATGTGACTCTTCTAGGAGGACAGCACACGGCACTGCTGTATACAAAATATATAGGGTGATTTCAGCTGATTTCCAGGTGGAGTGTTAGGAACCACCATGTACAGTCATTAGCCTCTATGCAAGAGAGGCCCAAGACTGAGCTAGCATAAATACCGAATTACTTACCACCTCTAGAGAGGGTGGTCGCTCCAGGCCAGGGTTGAGCTCATGGGCAAGGCTGTGCAAGGAAGCTGTCTGTACAATGCCTGGCCTGCGGATATACAGAGGACTTCAGTCTCCTGTACTGTCAATCTCAGTCAGCATGAGCTCAAATATTCACTAAAAATGTAAGGGTCAAATTCTGCCCTCCGATGCCTATCTGTAGCTCCCATTAAGTTCAATGGGAACCATATATGCATTCAGCCAAAAAGGATCTGACCTTAAGAATGCATTAAGAAGCAAGCCCACCTAAGCAGAGGAGGACCCGCATGCTCTAAGTTTGTGGTATTTAACATTTGCTTCAAAACTCATACAAATCAGTTTCTCATTTGAAATTTTTAAATCAAGCAACTGTATTCTGTAACTCTATGCAGTGAGAATTCATAATCCAAGTCAGATTATTCATTACATGAATATTTTAAAAGTATGAATTAATTAAAAATGAAATTAATGTAAGACACTTTATGACACCACTTTAACCCTAGAAGCTTCAGTGAACATACTTCAAATGCATAACCCTATGAAAATGTATATATCTTTTTAAACTTTCTGCAGCCTACCACCTGTTTTGTTAGAAGACTTTCATGTTACTAACAGCCTCACCTTTAGCCTACTCCTGTTTCAGATCCTGGGCAAGTACAATTCCTGCACTACCAGATTTCCAAACCTCCACCGTATCCGAAGAATCTCAATGTATCTCCTTCAGCTACAAACCACACCATTTTCTTGGAACTGTGCTTTTAAGTCACTGCAGAGTAGATAAGAGTTGATCCCCAATAAAGATGTCTTTGAAGAAGATTTGGAATAAATGTATACATAAGTAAATGTATGCATCCACATCCATTTGCAAGGTTGCTATTTACGAGGACTGTTTGTTTATATGGTTGAGAGCAAAACAATAACCTCCTAATTTTCATCAAGAGCTCCTTAAGCACAAGCACAGAATGATTTACCCTACAGATTAATGCATAGGGACATAGAAAATTAAATTAAATAATTTATTTTCATTGGAATCATGCTGCACATATAACAGACATATCAAAATATAACCATTCTCATCTCCTGTGTTTTCTGGATACATTACTTATCAGGTAGCTGTAAGGTATATATACTAGAATAAGGAATTCTGACTCTTCACAACTTTCTTTCGCTGCCCTCTGGCTTAACATATATGTGAATGCACACACACATATATACACACACACACATGCACTGTATATTAATTTAGATGACATTCCAGGTGAGGACTGGAACCGCTCTAAACTGGAAAACCCACCAGAATTTTTAAAATGGATCCTTTTCAGACCAGACTGACACCTAACAGTCTGAGCACCGCAGCACAGCCTAACATCAATACCCTTTGTAAAAGAATGCCAAATCAAAAGATGCTACTTACATGTATGAGTCTTCTTCGTTACAGCAATACCTGTAGGGAAGAAATAATACCAACGTTAGCAAAGAGACCACCGAGTAAATTCTTTTGACATGTATTTCATCATTAAACTACTTTATTTCAGACACACCGCAGCCACTATAAAAGAGAAATGAAAATTGCAATTATTTGTATGTTAGAAGTGGGAGGATCTCCCTTTGCATGCAGACTTTAATAGTATATTCTCACATTTCATTTGTGATTAAGGCCTCTAATGAAATTTTGGAAATGGAATTGTTTGGCTTACTATTCGTGAAAGACAGAGACACCTGCACCTCACACCTCATCAGTACGTGTTTCAACATTTATTGATTAAATTTTCGTGTTGGAATGTGTATCTATATGCTGCTGTTTTAAAACTGAAGTTGATGAAAACAAAAGATACCAATACCACTATGGAAGCCCCCTTTTATTTTTCATGTCTAAGAATTTTCCCACACTCATATTAGCTAGTACACATCAAACTACCCAGACAGAACAGATTTGAGCAGTACAACAATTCATTTGATATGTTATTAAGTTCAAGTAGTTCCTTGACTGCAAGATGTAGCTTATGCTCATTAAAACCAAATGAACAGCTCTCTCAATGAGAATAACTTGCCATAATTCCAAGCCAGATGCAAATATCTCCAAGCTGTTAAATATATACTTTCTGAAGTAATAAAGATGTTTTTATGCTAGACAGGCATGTGGTGGCAATCACCAACAATGGTCCAGTGCCAATGAAATTTGAGAGGCATTTTAAAGAAAGCAAAGGAGTGAACAGAATGAGGCAAAATTTATAATACCAAATAAAGATAAAATTAATTCTGTTAAATGTCATGGGAATTCATGCTTGAATACAAACAACACTGTCTCCACTTTAGTAGATAACTGGTGCTGTATTCAGACCCCTCAGTATTTAAGCTCCACTCTCCTTAGGGGGAATTTTATGAGAAGAGAAAGAGGTTACTGGAAGAAGTACAAGTATTTGAAACATTTCATTTGTGATTAAGGCCTGTAATGAAATTTTGGAATTGGAATTGTGTGGCTTACTATTCATGAAAGACAGAGAGACCTGCACCTCCTTAGCTACCCTTCTCTACCCTTTAACCACCTCTTCAAATACAAATTGCTATGGAAAAAATAGGCTTTTATTTCAGGCTACTTTGTTGTGGAACAACTCAGGGAGGCAGTAGATTATAATAATTCAGAAAAATATAGATACCTTATTTGCAAATGTAACTTCCAAAGCCAGCAGTTTTCAAATTATTCATGTTTTTTTGTAGATACATAAATCCACAATGCCAACCCCAAATATGTAGCTATCAAGTTTGACACAAATGTTATAAGGTTTGGGTTTTTTTTAATTGCGCTTTTGTTGCTATTGGCCTTTTGGTTTTGAACCACAGAGTTCTACAAGCGTGAGCACAGAAACCTTTTTTTTCCCCAAAAAGAAAAGCTGAGAGGCTCCAGGCTTTGGGAAGAGAAATTCTGAGCTGTTCCTTTGAGTAATTTTGTAAATGTGAGACACAAGTAAGCAATTTGCAAAAATCAGAATACTAGGAACTAGTTTATGTATGTGTACTGACTTAAATTAAAAGGTCCCAGCCAAAACTGCACATTCCTCATGCTAGGAATTAGGGTTGTAGCCTCAAACTGTAGAGCCAGGGTAAGCAATAAGAACAAAAGGAAAACAAGCATAACAAAAATAAACCCATTTAGTTACATAAGTAGCTATTACAGGGGGCAAATTAATCCTTTAAATCAATATTTTGTAAGTGCCAGCTTTCTCATATTTTCATTCCAGTGCAATTGTTACTGGCTGGCTTGGAGTAGGTGGACAGGAAAGGACAGCTGCGGGTGTCAAGGAGAGAGCGTTATAGGAACAATAGTGCAGGGCAAGAAGAGGGGCAGAGTGAGAAAAAGCAGAGATCGAAAGTATCCATGTCAAAATGCACAAACAATACCTTGTGCACTCTTTGGTATGAGTGCAAAAACCCCTCTCTCTAGGGTTTTCCAAAGGTCTGCCTTACTCGTTGAATTTGAAATTACAGCTGTCATTAGAACATTTGTTCTTCCATCAAGGAAGAGCACTTTTGATGCCGTTTGACTTCTTGAGTGACCACCGAACAGCATGTACAGCTCCTGACAGTCTTCATCATCACAAACTGTCTTAACATTCCCTTGGCAGAAGTACTCGCTCTGCCCTTGTCTACCTGGCCAGCTCTGACAATTTTAAGGATGTTTTACGGAATGGGAAATGCAGAGAAAAAGGTCTTAAATCTGAACACCATTTGCAAAACTTCTTCTCCCAACACTAGTGCTAATAAATGGATACATCAGTGCTCTTTCAGCATTATGGAAGCCATATGTGTACTTTTCTCAGAAAATAATGCTTTCTGTAAAATCACTTTGAACAGAAAGTGCTTATGCTGTCACTTCTGATTACTCACAGCCTCTTCACAATGGGATTTGCCACAGCACAAAACAGACTTAGCTGTATTCGCTGACTGAGGGCCTACTTTCCCCTGGTACGAAATAGGGATGGAAATATTAGTGCTTATATTTTTACCTTTTTTTTTTTTTTTTTCATATGAGATTAGTGGTGGGTTTTTCCAATCAGATGTTTCCATAATAATTACTGATTACCATCTGGTAAGGTCTTTTAGCTGTTTTATGCAGATATTTTTAGATAACCTTTTAAAACAACAGCTTGGAGGTAGGCTTTTTTGCATCTTCTTCATAATTACACTGATAGTTGCAGTGAAACCAAAGTATTTTGCTTTGAACTGTGGTTTTATAGAGACTAACTGCAATCTGGTGGAACAAGGATAAATGTTGCCAGTGAGTTCAACAGGATTAGATTTGAATGAATCAGCAATCTCTACTTACATTAAAAGGAGTTGTGAATTTTTAAGAAGCCTTAGCTTTCACACCAGTAACTGTGACTAGAAAACCCGAACAAAAAGTGTAGCAGCATATCCAAACAGTCACTTAGATTAGATACATTGTAGCTAGTGCTTTAAATGTAGTATTATGTATGCAGCACATTCCTGCATCATTGGGATCAGTTTTAGTTTTAATGCAGGAAGCCAATGGCTCTGCTATTCAGAACATTCAAGAAGTATAATAATCTCCTAGAAATGGGTGTATTAAGAAAAAAAAACAAAAAACAAAACCAAAAAAACACCAAAACCAAACAGTCTGAAAACTACTTAATGTTAAAAAAGGGGAGTTATAAGATCTTTGCCTTTCTTTGGGCCAGTGCTAACTCTCACTTGCATATATGTTTCAACTGACTTTCCTATGAGCCGTATCCTACAAGTCTTACGCAGACAACCCATCAGTTCGTTTGAAATCAACAGAATCTCTTGAGAAACTAATTCTGCAAGTCCAACATACATCCGTATTTTTCTTCACATGATTAGGCATCATTAACTGGGACTGATCTCATTTGTAAATATTTCTGGGACTGTACCATCAGTTTATGTACATTTGAGTAGACATTGTATAATAAAAGCTAAACCTAATACACCACCAAAAGGCAAAGTTTTATTTATTTCTAATAAGTGGAGCACAAAGAACCTACTGATTCCTTTCAAAATGTTAATGTAAAATCCCATTTTTAAATGGGCTTCAATTCAAAATCTGATAGACTGGAGTAATATGTGACCACTTGCCACTATTAGCACTATCCTAAACAGCCAGCTTTCCATTCTTACTTAAAAAATAAAGAGAAGAAGAAACAACCCTAACTTCAGTGTTGCTAATACAGAAAGATTTCCGGACTTAACCAACTAGACTTCAAAGTAAAGCAAAGGAAATGTCATGAAAATACCACAATATATCACTGCCATGGTTATCAGTGAGTGAAAGTTTCAGTATTACAATTATCACAGAATTTATCACCTCAGCAGTGCAATTTGACATTCCTGATCAACACCAAATCTTAAACAAATTAACTTCTTAGACTTTTAATTGTTGCTATGCAATGCTCTTTGCAACAACAATCAACTGTATATATATATTTTTTTAAAAATGAAAACAATTCACATACCATTCCCTTTCCCCCTCCCACTAACAAGATGTAATTTGCCATGATGGGTGGTATTTACAAAAATAGCTTTCTGGATGCAATGAACTTTGAAAAGAGTATCAACTAACAGAGACAGGATATTCTTTTGCAAGCGGTTAGTCTGACTGACCTTCACTAGCCAACTTCAAATAGAGATAACAACGTCTTCAAGTACAAAAAGAGACTCAGATATTTTATACATCATAAGCTATTTCTCACAGTTGCCCATCCAAATAAAGAAGCATAATGAAACACTGCTTACTCTGTGAACCCAGATCCCTGCTGCTGTTGTACAGTTGTCAACTTCCCATATTTCAAGGGGAAAACATACTTTGATGTACAGAAAGATAAGTAACAAGTCCCCTGTCTGGCAGAATACATTACTCTGCAAAATATCAAAGGAGGATATTCTTGAGTTCAATTTTCTTAAACCTCCAAGAAAACACTTCCTCAGAAGTTTATATGGAGAAACAATGCATCACTGGCAAAGCTCATAACTAATCTCCAGGACTTCTGTCAAGCACCTTTGTGTTTCCTTTGCTTTGCTTTTTGTGCAAAAATCAGGTGACTAACATTGGTCGGATGACAGTATATCTATGTATATGATGATTTGCTCATGTGGGTGTGTGTATCTACCTATCTATACTCACTTTCTTTTACCCTTCCCTCAAGCCAGCATTATAGCTCTACTATGTTTTGGAACTTAGTCATTTTATGATGGATTGAAAATCTTGAGGGGGGGTGGGGGAAGTTAAAATTTTAAACTCTAAGCCTCCTGCCTGATGCATTGTGTAAAATCAGAAAGAAAATGTATTACAAGCTTCGATCCCACTGTGTTTCGTTCTGTCACTCCACTTTTTTTACTCTGTCACTATACAGAGCTAGCAATTAAGGTAGAAGATTATATGTAACACTCGGACACTTGCAGAGAATTTAC